GGGGAGGACAGTAGGTCCCCCCCCCTTATTGTTTTATTGGGGCCCCCACCCACCGCTCAGGGGTGGGGGCCGGGGGGAGGACAGTAGGTCCCCCCCCCCTTATTGTTTTATTAGGGCCCCCACCCACCGCGCAGGGGTGGGGGCCAGGGGGGGAGGAAGTAGGTCCTCCCCCCTTATTGTTTTATAAGGGCCCCCACCCACCGCTCAGGGGTGGGGGCCAGGGGGGAGGACAGTAGGCCCCCACCTTATTGTTTTATTAGGGCCCCCACCCACCGCTCAGGGGTGGGGGCCGGGGGGGAAGACAGTAGGTCCCCCCCCCCCATTATCTTTATGGCCCCCACCCGCCGCTCAGGGTGGGGGAGGGGGGAGGACAATAGGTCCGCCCCCCCTTATTGTAATTTATGTCTTTTTTTTCAACAGTGAGCAGCCACAGGCTGCTCACTGTTTAGTAGACATGCCCCTACTCGCGGTATAGTGAGTAGGGGCATTTGGGAGATTTAAATCTCTCTTGTGCTATTATGGGGGTCATATTGACCCCCATAGAGTGAGAGGGGGTACTGGGGGGCTTATGAAGTGGTGGGGAGCACTGCTCCCTGCCGCTTCTATAGTTACATATTACAAGGAGGGAGCTGCACGCCGGTAGCTCCCTCCTTGTAATAAACTGCACGAACAAACATACACTGATACTCAGATACACTGATACATTGTGTTTGTTTGTTCGGCTGATCTTTCTATTCACTCATTCGTCTGTCTGATGAATGAATGAATAGATGAAATTCCCGTTCGCATGTCCAGGTGTTTCACTGGGCATGTGCGGGAATCTCAGTGTCTGCCTAGTGTGGGCTGATGACGTGTCCCACAGGGACTTCACCTACCCACACAAAGATGGCGGCGCCCTGAATCAAGATCGGGGCAGAAAATAAGGATTAAAAAATAGGTAATGTGGGGGGCTTAGGGGCATTTGGGGGTGACTAGTGGGTCAATTGGATGTAGTGGAGGCGGGAGGGGGGTTAAAAAAAAAACGGGTTTCGGCATGACAGTGCCGCTTTAAACCTCTTTCTGAACTGTGTCAATAATTTTGCTTGGTAATTTAAGTCCTTCTTCATCTGTACATTAACCGTTTTCAGGATAATCGTTTGACTTGGTAAGCACAGCACTTCTTCATCTGTATGGTAAACTGTGACAGGACATGTCTATTTCCTTTGCCTCTTTGGGCCTTCCAGATAGAATGTTCTTTGAATCACAACGCAGACAATGAAATATGCACAAACAATCAGCATATCTTGTCTCAAAGGATTAACTAGTTTTATCTTATAAAATCTATTAGGTTGTGGTGTTTACAGGTAGTTAAAGGCCCACAAATGTCTCTTGAAAATTTGATTTGTTTAGACATTTACTCCACATCTGATGGAGAGTTGAACACAACCATATTAGTTAATTTTTAATTTACTGACGAATACATGCAATAATCACAAAATGTAGAACTTTTTAACAGAAAATTATTATACAGTGGGACCTCGGTTTACAAACTCCTAGGTTAACATAATTTTCCGTTTACAAATGAAAATCCATTGAAAATAATGCCTCGGTTTACAATTTTTTTTCGCAATACAAAGCAAGTTTCCCCAGGATGCATTGCACCTGGGAGGTTTATAGCACCACCCCCTGCATGCTGGAGCCTGTGGATAGCATGTGGGGTCAAGTGTGGAGGTGTTGGAGCGGCTTTTGCATAGAGTTTTGGAGCCATTCTGGAAATTGTTTGGAATTGTTTTGGGACTTTTTGGTGCATTTCTCAAGCTGTGGAAAGGTAGAGAGCTGATCTTCGTCGTTTGCATGCCTTTTATTGTGTGTTCTGCATTGTGGGTTGGTTTCCATGCCAGCTCATTTTGACTTTTTTCGGATTAACGGATTAATTGGTTCTCAATGCATTCCTATGGGAAACTGTGTTTCGGTTTACAAATTTTTCGCAATAAGAAAAGTCCCAGAGAACGTATTAAATTCGTAAACCGAATCCACCGTACATGAATGTGAGTGGAAAAGACGTAAGGGTGAAAAATGTATTCACAATTGAATGTATGTGCAAATTCTCATACCCATAACCATTTAACCCTTACGTCCCATTTAATAGCCAACTAGAGCAAATAGCATACATAAAAACATAGAATTTGATGGCAGATAAGAATTATTCGTCCCATCTAGTCTGCCCAATTTTCTAAATACTCTCATTAGTCCCTAGCCTTATCTTATAGTTATGCCTATCCCACGAATGCTTAAATTCCTTCACTGTGTTAACCTCTACCACTTCAGTTGGAAGGCTATTCCGTGCATCCACTACACTCTCAGTAAAGTAATACTTCCTGATATTATTTTTAAACCTTTGCCCCTCTAATTTAAGATTGTCCTCTTGTTGTGGTAGCTTTTATTCTTTTAAATATAGTCTCTTCCTTTACTGTGTTGATTCCCTTTATGTATTCGAAAAACGTCGCCTCAGACGGGATATGATAACATTATACAAATATATCCGAGGTCAATACAAACCATTGTGTGGAAATCTATTCACAAACAGGACTTTACATAGGACACAAGGTCATGCTTAGACTGGAAGAAAGAAGATTTAGTCTAAGGCAAAGGAAAGGTTTTTTTTTTACCGTTAGAACAATACAGATATGTAATTCTTGCCTGAAGAAGTGGTTTCATCAAAACATCCAGGAAACCATCATATTTTCCACAATCGGGACTTGCTGGTTCTGAAAGCGTATTTGGTCCATCATGTTTGTCAATATCATTTTGGAAGTACTCTCGTACTTCTGCAGAAAAAATACTTAGCATGGCATTTTAAAACAGCTTCTGACCACTAAATATTTAACCAAGATAGACCAGCAAAACTATGTTTAAAAAAAAAACCAAAACAATCAAATAAAGAGCTTTTAACACAATGCTCCTACCCAGAATTTAATAGTTAAAACAGACAAAAGATTAAAAAAAAAAACTGTTTGCTATCTAAAATTGGAATGCAGTGAAGCAACACAATTTAACATCTGAAGCAGTGTTTGTTACAAGAAACAAGTTCAAATAGATTCAGATTTCAGTCTAGTTAATTGCAACAAGAGATAGACAATCACAGCACATGGGCTGTTAAAAATGGCCTAAACCTCAATAGTCCTGGATGTATCATAAAGATCGATATATAATAGAGTGCCAGGTATCCCCCTTTTTTTTTACTTCATAAAACTACTGGAAGACAGATACGAAATGCATACACTCAGCATTTGAAATGGGTTTGACAACTACACTCTCATGTACTATAAGATAGGGCCCGATGAATAGTTTTATGTGACAGATGCTCGCAAACTGTTTACGTTATATTCTGAATATTGTTACCTGACAATGGTTTGTATATTTTTGTCAATACAAAAAATAAAGAATAAAAAAAAATGGCCTAAGCATCAAAAGTACCAATGCTGTGCAGCTTATGCAATTTTCCATTATTATAAGCAATACTTTAAAACTGTGCAGAAAAAAGTTAAACAGACAAACAAAAAACACAAAAAAACAAACAAACCTGTTTTCCATTTAAAATTAGAATGCAGTGAAGCCACACAATTCAACATAGGTTCAGTTTCATTCTAGTTAGTTGCAACAAGAGAGAGACAATCACAGCACATAAGCAGTTCAAAATAGCCAAAATATCAAAAGTACCAATGCAGTGCAACAATTCTTCCCCTACTATAACCAATACTTTAAAACTGTGCAAAAACAATGTTAAACCTATAAATGGTACAATCATTTGCACAAAATATATTCTGTCAGTAAAACATATATTAACAAAATACATGTGTAAATTTGTTTCAACAAAATTAATATTTTTATAAAATCACTAGCTCTTAGATTACGCATCAGTATGGTAATTATTGAGCTTCACAAACTTTTGTTGTAGAAGTATCCTATTTCGGGATCACCAAAATGTGGTGTAATACCAAACTATATAAATTATGTACGCATGCACATATAAACTCTAGTCCGTCTACTTTAAGAAATATTTATTCAGAGATAAAACAACAACAACATACAACTAATGACACACACTATAATTAAACCTTATAAAGTCATCAGATCCCACTCACATATCACCATGATAACCGTAGCTTATGTCTGTTCACATGTCTGCTTAGTAGCACAGCCAAGAAAGAACGGGGAGGAATGAAGATAGGGTGGGGAGTGGCAATCTCTTTCTGACTTGCACAGGTATTGAATTACCTGTAAGAAAGGGATACATGAGCTTGGTCACATGAACCCTAGTCACCATCAGAATTTCACCACACCAACTATTAAACGAGAAGAATTGGGTGTAATTTTTAAATGGAATGTATACCACACCTTGTTATTATTATTATTATTATTATTATTATTTTATTTATATAGCGCTTTCAGAAGGAAAAGTCTTGGTGGCGAGCGTTAGAGGTGGGAGTACGGACAGAGGATATACGTAGAATAAACAAACAATACAAAGTCCCAATATGTAATGACAAATAGATACCACCACACTCTAAAACACCTGTGTGATAACCTCTCTATTCACACATAAAGCAAAATATACATATAGATTAGGTGGAGTGTAAGGTGAACACAACCTTGTGCAATAAGGTCAGATACACATACACATATGATTATCAGTAGGTATTGTACTCACATGTACAGAGCCAATAACATTAGGCTCAATGTGCAGGCTGGTGGGAATATTAGGAGGGATCCCACTCCCTAGCTGGACAGGATGGGATTATGTTCTGAAGATCCTCCACCCAAAAATGTTCCAGGACATAAGGTGTAGTTAAAAAGCTAATTTATTTGGAACAGTGACACAAAATAAAATA